TTTTCTCTTTTCCCTTATCCCAGTTGATCTTTCCTTTTGAGCAGTTTCTTTCCCTACCACATCTATTGCCCCTTTCAGATTTTATTTATTCTTTCAGATTCTCTCTTTTTTTTTTTTTTTTTTGGTTTTTCTCCAGTACCGGGAACTGAACTCACGACCTTGCGCTTGCCAGGCAGGCACTTTGCCACTGAGCTAAATCCCCAGCCCCATCTTTCAGATTCTTATACTAGGGAGGCACTATGATGTTTACATATTTGAATCGGTTTTATTTCACTTATGAGTTTGTACTCTAGTTGTATCCATTTACCTATAGAAAGCTCGAGTTTATCTTTCTTTATAGCTGAGTAATACCCAATTGTATTAAAATACTACACCTTTTTTATCCATTCCTCCATTGAAAGACATTTGGATTGTTTCCAAAATTTAGCTGTTACAAATTGTGCTGCTATAAGCATGTGCTGCTATAAGGCTATGTATATGTTGTTGTATGATGTTTTTAGTCCTTCTGGATAAATATCTAGGAAGGAAATAGCTGGGTTGAATGGGACCTCTAATGGTAGTTTATGGAGAAAAGTATCAAAATCCCTGACTTGAAATTATACCACAAAGCTACTGTGATAAGATCAACATGATATTGGTAAAAAAAAAAAAAAAGCCTGAAGATCAGTGGAATAGACTAGAAGATGCAGCCACAACCCAAAACACACTCAGTCACTTTATCTTTTACAAAGGGGCCAAACATGTTCATTGGAAGAAAGATAGCCTTTCTAATAAATGGTGCTGGAAAAACTGGCTCTCCACATGCCAAAGACTAAAACTAGACCCATATCTATTGCCATACACCAAACAAAAGTCAAATGGCTTAAAGGTCTAAATATTAAAACAGAAACACTAAATCTACTGCAAGAGAAAATAGGTAGAAATCTTGAAGTTGTAGGGGTAGGTAGAGAGTTCACGAACAAAAGCAAACTGCATGGGAAATACTTCAATGAATCAACAACTGAGATCTCATGTTATTGGAATGTTTTTGCACATCAAAAGAAATCATCAAGAGTAAAAAGAAAAGCCACGAATTCGGAAAAAAAATGAGAAAACTATCTTTAAAGACAGCCAGAAAAGTGGAATGACTCTAGGTGTCAGAACATACCCAAATAAAAGTAC